AGGGTGTAGAGCTGGTCCAGTGTTCCACGACCAGGACCAAAACCACACTGCTCTTCCTGAATCCGAGGTATTTTGCTAACAGACAGAGTTAACTCCAGGAGCTCAACATGTTTTTAAAAACCATTCAAATCAAACTGAGCGTTTGTGTCAGGGTGTTTTTATTTCTTTTTCTCTCTGTGGTTTTAAACCTTTATATTTACCTCGTTGTCTCTGCTGTCCTTGTTGCTTTAGAAGAAAATTTAATTGAGCAACAACATTCCTTCCTTTTCAGCTTTCATCAATAAAACTGAGCCTTGAAATGAATCTTTTTCTCTGATGACTGAACTCCTGATGCTTACAGGATATACAGATATATATTTTTTGCAAAAAATATATAATTTTAAAGTCAAAATTAAAAAGTGAAATTCTGAATTTTCCTGATTCTGAAATTAAAGTTATAGTTCAGGGTGAAAAGTCAGAATTCTGAGATTAAAGTGAAAATTCTGAGAAAAATAAGTAATTAATTCAGGGATTAAAGTGAAAATTCTAATGGGAAAATCCATAATTCAGGGATTAAAGTCAGAACTCAGAGGAAAAAAGTCAGAAATCTGGGGTTTAAATCAGATTTTTGGGATTAAAGTCAGAATTCACAGGGAGAAAAGTCAGAATTCTGAGATTAAAGTGGAAATTCTGAGAAAAATAAGTAAAATGTCTGGGATTAAAGTCATAATTTTGGGATTAAAGTCAAAATTCAGAGGAAAACAGTCATAAATCTGGGGTTTTATTCAGATTTTTGGGATTAAAGTCAGAATTCACAGGGAGAAAAGTCAGAATTCTGAGATTAAAGTGAAAATTCTGAGAAAAATAAGTAAAAAAAAATCTGGGATTAAAGTCAGAATTCTGAATAAGAAGTCAAAACAGAATCTTTTAGTTGTTTTTGCTCGGAGGCTCTAACCGTCGTCTGTAAGATTCTGACTCAGAGGGTTTGACTCACAGCTCTCCAGCTCCAGCGAGCAGGTCTGAGAGTCCAGAGGGAACCGGCTGAAGTCCATGTTGCAGGCTGCCGTCACCGTCACCCTGTCCATCAGAACACAGAGGATTTAATGATGCTTCAGTCAGAATATGATCTGTAAACCCAACAGAGACATAAACTCACCTGTAAACGGAAAAACATGAAAATAAAGAGTTTATCAACATCACTGTATTAACTGTTGCAGTACTGATACGACTCCACAGGGGGCGCTTCAGAGCAGAGAAACATGTTCAGTTGTTAAAACTCAGCTGCAGTTTTCTGTTCAAACATCTATAAAAACAGCTCAGATAAACGTCTGCAGGTCACTTATATAACTTATCATCCTAACGTGAAAAAAGATCTAATGTTTCTCTGTGAACTGAACATTTGAGTGTTTATTGATCTTCAGCTGAGTTCTCCTGAGCCTCTGCAGGTCCAACAAGTCCAATAAATCCAATCATATCTGTGAAACTGGGGCAGATTTCATAACCCTGAGTGGTAAAAAACCATCTGTTTCAGACTGACAGAGAGCTGAAGCTTCATCATCTTCATCAGAGCTTTATTAAAACAGCTCCCAAAACAGACCAAGTTCTCAGGTCCACAGAGGTCAATGACCTCCAGATCCATCACCGTGGTAACGGTTGCTACGGTGACAGGGAGGCTGACACGTTCACTGACAGGTCCAGGGCCTGAAGCTGCTGCTCTCTGCAACAGAACCTGCAATTCGGATCATTATTTATAAATCTTTGGATCACAATGCACCAAGAGCTGGACCTGGACCTGGACCTGGACCTGGACCAGATGGAGCGTTCTGACTCCAGCACCCAGCAGAACCTCTGCTGTGGTTCTTCAGCCGAACAGGAAACACGTGGAGGATTTTCACAATAAAGGTTTGCTCTCACATCAGCAGCAGAACGGCCTCTGAAGCTATCACTATTCTTTTTTTTAATTATTATTATTGTTATTATTATTATTGTTATTATCATTGTTATTTGATTGAAGTTACTTTT